AAAGGCCTGTTTAAGCTGAACTCTGAGGTTCTTCTTTTTTATTTGTAAGCAAAGTTCGTTTGCGTGAATGGTGCCAGTATCTCCTCACTGCAGAAGCCGCAGACTGCAGGTTCCTAAGCCCTTCCTTGCGTCCTTGACACGACCCTCCGTTGTCTGCCCTCTCCCTGGTGAGAAATAATTGGGGGAAGTTATCAGCACAGTTGACTCAGAAGATTTACTTTCTTCCACCCAACCTTCCTACCCGTTCTTGTTTTGCAAAAAGATGCATTACAGGGATCCAAACACGAGAAATGCCAGGTAAGCCAAATGGAGCGCCGGGCTGCAAAACAGTGGCCCTGAAATCTTCACAAGGGTCCCGCTCACGCGTGAGAATTGAGGAAAGATGGAGACACCTTCCACGTGGACGGGGAAGGGGTGGGTGTGACGACCACCTGGAACTCCTGACTGTGCACGGCTGGAGAAGCTTGACTGGGTGTGAGACCCAGACGGTCATCGCTGTCAGCCACCCCGCGCTGTGCGGCCGTGACTGGACATGGTGGCATCACCTGGCAGTGTCTCCAGGTCTGGCATCATTGTGCAGGGCACCTGGAAGGAGCGCAATGTTCTGTCTGCATCTCATTAAAACAGGAACTCTAGCAACAATAGTAATAATTTGTTGATTAATGAACCAGTGGGGGAATTCTGACCTTTGAATGGACTGTAGCCTGGGAACTTAACCCTTCTCTTTCCTTTCCTTCCAGAGCGGGTGCAAACACAGGCCCCCGTCCAGATGTGCATGTGTCACGGAGGCCTCGCTCAGAGCCTGGGTGGGTGCGATCCCGCCCTGCTTCAGCTCTCCGGGATTCAGGTGCGCGTGTTTCCCGAGCGCCGTGAATTTAGGCAGTCAAGTCCCAGAGCCAGCTCACCCAGATCACACAGCCGGGAAGTGGTAGCCCCATGCGCGCCCCAGGCCTCAGGACCACTTGTGTAAGGGTGTATGTGTGGGGGTGTGGGGTGTGTGGGGGGGTGAACAACCCAAAGAACACCCCTGAGACTCGGGGTCCATTTCACACCTGGGGCGCAGCCAAGCCAGACTCCAGTAATTCGTGCTTTGCACCACCCTAATAAAGCCAGTGTTTACCCTGGCTGGAGGTGTGCATCAGATGTTTTTGCCAATCCCCAAATACGGCCAGAGAGTGAGGGGTGCCTGTTGCGCAAGGCCCCGGCTGGTCCCCAGACGAAGCACTTCCTCGGGGCGATGTGTAAGTGCCTGACAACGGGTTACTCATTTCCTCCGGGAAACTTGGCAGGGCCACTTGACCCCGTTTCCTCCTCCTGCCACATCCCAGGGCTTCCTCTCTTGAAGGTTCTCCAGATTCCCAGGAATACCACCACGGCGGGCCTGGCCTTTGACTGTGGCCGTTGGTGGGAAGGGGCCTGGGGAGCGGGGCTCGTGTCCTCCTGGGCCTGGCACGCACTCAGCCACCAGTTGCGCTGCCGGCACCAGAGGCCAGGGCTCCGGCTTGGGCGGGAGGGCCCCTGGGTTGAGCGAATGGGGTGCCGGTGGCGGTCCAGCCATGTTTCGGCTCCCCCCTTCCTGATGGTGTGCCCTGAGCCAAGTATCAGATTTAGATTTCCGTCCTTCCTCTCTGCCCCTCCTGGCAGCGGCACAGAGGGAGGGGTAAGGGGTGAGGAAGGGGAGCCCGAGCGGGATCATGCCGTGGGCGCACGCTCACTGTGGGCCGTGAGGTCTGTGGTTGCACGAAGCTTCCATCGTCTTGGCAAAGCACGTCGCCCGTCATCGTTTCACACGCCGCCGTCCCGGTGGTTTTGCGGGGCTCCCCGGAGAGACCAGGTCCCTAGATCTCTTCCCTCTCTGCCATTCCTCCCCAGAAAGGTCTGGGCTCTAGGCCGAAGGGCAGCTGACTGAATCCTCCCAGGAATGAGCCTCCCAAGGGCGACAGGAGAGCTGGCCAGCCTTGGCGCGGGCTCTCCCAGCCTGTGGCCTGCGAAATGAGCAGGAACATGCCTGTCGACTTCTGGGCTGGACAGTCCCGGGTGCCTCTCGTAGGGTCACGTACCCTGCTGGCCCTCCTTCACCTCTGCAATCTCTCCATCAAGTAGTCACTTTCCAGCAGGATTAGGATTTGGTTATTGGGGTGCAGATCTCTCTAGAGGCACTGTTGCCTTCTTGAGGTTTACTCGTCAGCAGTTTGCAAAGACCCTGGAGTTGGGGAGCCATTGATGTTAACAGGTTACCACGTATGCGTTCTCCCAGGGCCGGAAGGGTTTGGGGTGAATGTAGCTCCATCCCTCTGCTGCCCCTGGTGCTGTGATCCAGCCAGACACTGCTGCCTCTGCTCTTCCTTCTAAGCTGCTTCTCCCTCGTGAAGGAAGAAAATGACGTCCTCTCACGCTGGCTGGCTCCCCCAAACAGCGAGTGTCTCGGGTGTTTCAGGCTGTTTGTTTCTGAGGGTTAATTCGCTGGCTGTAGAGAGAGGCCGGGGGGTGGGCCCACTGGCCTGCCTGTGTGTCTGCATTTCTGTCTTTCCACTGCCATTTCTGGTATCGGCCACACTGGGCTTGGGGTGGGTGTTGAAGTCCATCTGCCCTGGGCCGGCCACCAGAGAGAGTAGGCTGTGGCCTCCTGTGTCAGGGGGTGGGGTGGGGAAGTGAGTCAGGGTCTGACCTGGAGAATGTCAGGGTCACATTTAAACCCAGGGGTTTGCGCTGACGGGGGGGAGGCTGGGGCTGTCGGGGGCGCACGGTGTAGGCACTGCAGGCGGCCACTTACCCTTGCTGAACTTTGGCTGTCACTCCTGTCAAATGGGGAGCTGTGATGCACTTGCCCCTTGGGTCATTGACCCTCCCCGAAAGGCGTGCGGTCTGTGGGGTGTCCCTCGGCACGAGGCCTCGCCCCTCACTGCCTTGCCTTCTAGGACCGTTTTGGTTCCGGCGGTCTTGACAGGGCTGGGGTGAATCGTTGGGAACTGACTGATTTTGAAAGGTGTTTGTGGGCAGAAAGTCAGCGGAGGAGGCTGGAGTTCCCCTAGGTAGACGTAGCCATCTCTGAGCAGGCCTGAAGGCGTACTGTGCTAGGCCAGAGTAACACAAGGAGCTTCTGCAGCAAGGAGCTCCCCACCCTGGCAGCCGCCACCTTGTTTTGCTGGTCTTTCTCAGAAAGGAGGAAGGCCTGCTGGGCGTGGCCCTGGCTTCCTAGGGCTGTCTCGCCAGCCAGACTCTGAGCCTGAGCTGCCTTGGATCTGTGCCTACCGCTGGCTTTGGGCTCTGACCAGGTCCCCATGCCCTGGCTATGGGCATGACCCCTGCCCCAGAGCTAATGGGGGCCAGGGAAGGCAGTCAGTGCCACCAAGCAGGGCAAGGCTGCCTCCAGGTGAGGAGCCCTGGGTACTGTGGAGGGAGCCCTCCCTCCCCCAAGGCAGCCTGAGCAGCACTTTCTGCCTGGCCTGTCTGGGACCACACTCTTCTCTGTGACCTGCACACCTCTCCCTCTGCAGACCACCTGCCACCAAAGCTGCCTTTTCTTTCTGGATCCCTTTGCTGTTGGTTGGACCCTCTCCGTGAGGGAGGGCCCAAGTGAACCATTTGGGGAGTCTTGCCAGGGAAGGATGTGCAGGACAAGGATCTGGCCCCACCCCCATCTCACGCCGGGGTGCAGAGGCTGCAGGTGGCAGTCCCGGCGATGAGATGATCTTTGCTGCCTGGCTCAGCCCAGTCGCTCAAGGCAAGCGCACAGGGATAGCAAGCGAAGAGCTACCAATCTCAGTGTGTAGCTGTGCTGCTGAAGTCGTCCCGTGCATGGGACAAGACCCCTGTGCCCGCAGCTCAGACCTGAAGCTGCAGATGGAAGGCTCCTTCTGATGTCACTCAACAAGATAGTGACAGAGCTGGGACTGGAACCCAGATAGCTCCATTACCCAAACCATGGCTTTTTATATGTTCCATCCAGCCCAAAGCCTATCTGGGGCCAGCGCAGCAAAGCTGGGCCTGGAGCTTATCCTCTCGGGCCTCTCACGCTGCTTCTCCAGACCAGGAAAGGTCCCCCACCCATGGGAGGCCTCTGGAGTGCCAAAGAGCCTCCTCAAGTAACCCCTCTGAGGTGTCTAGGGTGTGACATGTCTTTGCTTAGCGCTGGGTATGGAGTCCGGGGCTGTGCCTGGCCCTTGACCCGCCTCCCTGGCCTGCTCATGCTGGGATGAGGGACTGACAGTTGCAGCTGGGGCCCAAATGCAGGCCTCATGGCTTTCCAGGGCAGTGTGTGGCTTGTGACTACTGCAGGTTCCGGCCTCTGAGTCCCATCCTGGGATGGGGTAGCCCAGTCACCTACTGCTTCATGTTGCCGAAAGACGAGGCTGACACATTTGAAGTGTTATGGATGAGAATGAACAACTTTCATGGTGCTGAGGCGCCTGGTTGTGAAAGAAGAACCTTACTCCGTGGCTCAGCCTTTGGCTCCAAAAATATCTGTTTAAAGACTCCTGCAATCCCGATTAACCGACAGTTTCAATGGAAGATTCCTTTGGGGTTCTGATTTTTTTTTAATTCCAGATGTTTAAAGAAAAGAAAGCAAGGGCCGTTTGCATTCAAAGCTGCCTGGCTGGGACTGGGTTAAGGGTCCTTCCTTAGAAACGAGAAAATCCTAGTCTAGTTTATACACTGCTGTCAGGTATCCGTGGGGCTTCTGTTCTCCATCCTTGTATCTCCGCCTGGTATAGGGAATATACCTTGTAGACACAGAAAACATCCCTTCAAATAGCTCCCTAGCTCAGTCACGTCCCAGGGAGGTAGATGGGAGAGGCATGAGGCCCACTTGGTGGATGAGGAAACTGAGGCTGGCTGGGGCTGAGTGACTTGGAGCCGCCCGGGGTTGCCAAAGGGGGTCAGGTTTGCTGTGCGGCATTCTTGCTTCATCACTCTCGACCCAGGCTTCCAGGGGATAGAGAGCAAAGTGTTTCAGCAGCGCAGTGACCCTTCCCTCCTGCTTTCTATTTTCCCAACAGGCATTAAGAGTCCAGGATGCCAGGTGGGCCCCGGTGCCCCTGTCCTCGCCTGCACCCTGATCTGGGAAGGGAAGGTTCCCAGTGAACAGCACCTACCTGCACGAACCGGTGAGACAGCATAGGGGTGTGGGCTGCTGGGGCGGGCCGGTTGCTGGAAGGCGGCATTCAGGGGCACCAGGCTGAGCCACCTAGCGCCTGGGAATGAAGTGCTCTGCTTCACTGAGCCCTCTCTAGGTGCCTGGGGCTGGTGCACACCTGTCGTGGAGAAGCTAGGCAGGGCCTGAGCCCAGGGGTCCTCTTCCTGTAACTGCAGAGTGGGCGGTAGGTCCTCTTGATGTTTGCAGTTTAGCTTGAAAGACACAGGTCTGGAGAAGGGAAAGGACTTGCCGGAGGCCGCATGCTATCAGACAGAGATGATCCAGGCAGGCTCAAGGTCATAGTGCAGGTGTATGCACTCCTCACTTACCTTGTGCTTTTCCTTTCTAGTAGTCAAGTCCAGAGGCACCTATCTGGTGAAATCAGTTTGCATTCCCTCTTGGGAGTGATATCAGAATATCTAGGCCTGAGCAAGCAGGTTAAGATCCCCTCCTGCTGTGCCAGATTGTGGATTTGTGAAGGTGAAAGATAGGGTGGCCGGGAGACAGACCCAGGGAGTGGGACAGTCGGCTGTCCTCTGGGGAAGCAGCTCTTTATCAACCACCACGAAAGCATTTCAGTATTTTAATTACATTACTGCAGGCTGGGAGGGGCCCTGTCTGGTCTCTCCAGGAGTGGGGAGGACAGAACGTTTCTCTTGGTTTTCCTGAGAGAAGTCGTCGTTATATTTTCCCCATTCTTTTAAAGAATCAATTTCAGGTGTTTAAAATAATGACTGTGTGTCTTTAGAAAGTTAAACCCCAGGTACAGTAGGTGAAAAGGCCAGTTCCAGGTGGCCATCTGGGAAGGTGATTTGGGTCTCAGCCCCTGAGACCAAGCAGACCGTGGGCTTGGGCCCAGCGGCTGCTGCTGCTGTCTGGCCGCCTTGCACCTTGCTGGCTGTGGGGCTGGGGCAGTGAGACTGAGTTTCTAGCTGACCCCTAAGTGTGGGGATTCGCTTCCTGAGGCTTCCCTAGCAAATGACCCCAGCTTAGCACTCCCCAGCACACACACTGTGTGCGCTTCGTAGGACGGCGTGACCGGCGGGCCAGATGCCCGCCAGCATCTCCCAGGGCTGACAACAGACGCACAGCTCTGCTCCTTTTGAACACACCTGGGAGAAGATCTGTTTCCTCGCTCACGCTGGGGGTTGGCAGGGTCTCTTCCTGGGAGTGGTGGCCCGAGATTCACGCTCCTTGTTGGCTCTCAGTGGAGAGCTGTGTCCACTTTCCAGAATGTCCTCCCTCCATGGCCAGATCCAGCTGGGATGGGCTCTTTCAGGCCCCTGTCTGATTCCAGTTTTTCTCCTCCTGCCTTCTTCTCTTTCTGATCCCAGCAGGAGGGAGAGGGGAGGAAAGGTTCTCTGATTTGAAGGACTCCTGTGATTAGATTAGCCCAGAACCTGCCCTACCTACAGGTCCTTAATCTGAATGACATCTGCAAAATTCTCTGTGTCATAGGAGGTAGCGTGTGCAAGGTTCCCTGGAGTTATTAGTGGGCAGACGCAGGTGCACCCCAGGACCCCCAAACTTTGTATACCCTAAATGCGTCCTGCCATCTACCTCATAAAGGCAAAGCAATACTCTTAGTGCTTAAGACCTCCCATAGAAAGGGACGTCTATGAGAAGAAAGGATAATAGCTCCCCCAAAAAATGTTCAGTCAAGCCCAAAAGCCTGCCATAATCTGAGGCACCTTCTGGTGGGGAACCACAAGAAAGGGGCAGGAGGGACCAGGCGAGTCTGGAAGGAAAAGAGCACAATGAAAGTATAAGTTAAGACGGGCTCCCAGACATCTCCTTCCACATCCTCCACGCCCCTGGTGTGAGACCAAGGCCGGGAAGCAAGCACGGCCTCACACACGGCCCCCTCCCCACACACGCGCC